GTCAGTACATATATCTGTTGCGCTCCTCTCGTGGTTCGGATGTGTCCAGATGTGGAACACCACAGCAGAGTATACACTGTGTGATACGCCTCTGAGTCAGTACATATATCTGCTACCACTATGTTATATGTACTGCTGCCTCAGTACATATATCTCTTGTGTCCAGATGTGGAACACCAGAACAGAGTAATATATTACACTGTGTCATAGTTTCACTTGGAGTTGAGCATCCCACTCATCCGAATCAGAACAGTATAATGACACAAACTCGAGTTTGTGAGTAAAACGAGTTGTGGCTCTTCACAAACTTAGAGGCGTAGGATGACCTGTATTTAGAAGTGTGAGGACCAGAATGAATTGGAGTTATGCACCGATGATCGTGTACATGTATAGAGCGAGAGAGATAGAAAGAGAGAAAGAGACAGAAAGAGCGAGCGAGAGAGAGAGAGACAGAAAGAGCGAGAGAGAGAGAGAGACAGAAAGAAAGAGACAGAAAGAGCGAGAGACAGAGAGTCTTAGAGACACTGTACTTAATTTTCAGGAGACGCAGGGTCGAGCACACGTGTAGACCATCAGCCTCGTTTTTTAAAGCATTTCAGACGATCGTTGTAGGAGAGCAGAAAGGTAATGTGAATCTCGAAGATAAGCGAAACTCGGATGTATCCGAGATCACAGGAGATAGACAGACAGAGGAAGTCCGCAAGAAATGGTCGTGTACATTTGAAGAGCGAGAGATATAGAAAAAGAGAGAGAGACGGAAAGAGCGAGAGACAGAGTGTCTCAGAGAGACTGTACTTAATTTTCTCGAGACGCCGCACGGATGGCGCAGGGTCGAGCACACGCGGAGATCATCAGCCTCGCTTTTAAAAGCATTTCATACGATCGTTGCAAAAGAGCAGCAAGGCAATGTGATTTTTCCAGATAAGCGAAGTTCAGATATACCCGAGATCACAGGAGATTGACAGAGAGGAATCCCGCAAGAAATGGCATATTAGCACGCCAGAGGGCTGAGAGATGGAAAAGACAAGCACCGTATAGTCACCCATAACATTTCGTGTCACGAACGTATCCGAAGTGTCGAACTAGTATAGACCCTTCAGTTTGAAGCTTTCCCTGTGCTTTTTGGGACACAGTTCAAGAAGTATCTTTTGCGAAACTGAGAGAGAGAGAGAGAGAGAGAGAGAGAGAGAGAGAGAGAGAGAGAGAGAGAAAAAAAAAAAAACATTGTACCATCATCCACCACATTTCTGATCCATCCGGAGTGTCTCGGTTGTGAGTCGTTTCGCTACGATCTAGACAGAGCTGACAGAGATAGAAAGAGCGCGTCAGAGAGATGGAGAGGGAGAGAGAGACAGAGACAGGGACAGAGACAGAGACACAGAGAGAGACAGAGAGAGTGTGGATGATCGCACTGAATTTTCTTTTCATGTCGACATGTGGCACAGGAGATGCATGTTCGAGGAACACGCGAAAACCACAAGTGTAGCTGTACAAGAGTTGCAAGGTTTTCGTTAGGCGAGAGTAAGCCAAGTTCGGATGCATCCGAGATGACAGGGGAGAGGGAGTCCGAAGTAAACAACAAATGAGCGCACTAGACACAACTGTGAGTGTGTGTGTGCGCGCGCGCGCGCGTGAGAGAGAGAGAGAGAGAGAGAGAGAGAGAGAGAGAGAGAGAGAGAGAGAGAGAGAGAGAGAGAGAG